AAAATATATATATATATATATATATATATACAGGTGAATATATATGCACATACATACATATATTTGCCTCTGAAGGGGGTTTTTAACAAATATTTCATTATTTTTATTTTATGTGTTTGCATCTATTGCCTGCATGTAAGTGCACCCGTGTCAAGCAATGCCCGCAAAGGTCAGAAGAGGCCGTCAGAGCCCCAGAACTGGAGTTATGGACAGTTGTTAGCTACCATGTGGGTGCTGGGATTTGAACCCAGGTCTTCCGCAAAACAATCAGTGTTCTTAACCATTGTACCATCTTTCCAGCCCCTTTTATGTATTTATTTTTAATTTTATTTATTATTTCAATGACATATTAAGGGAGACATCCTCATGGCAGTTGCCAGACCAGGCTTAAGCATTAGATGGGCTGTCTATGCACCAAGTTCTGGCCCTTGTTCACCCATGTGGCTTTTTCTTTCAGGATGAATCACACTTCCTCAAAAACATTAAGACTGCCCGTTGCCGAGCAGCTGTGCCCATCCTAAAGGTAAGCGTGGCCAAGAAACTTAGAGCCTTGAGAGCCACAGTATTTGCATGCAGGGCATCCTGATTGAATATATGCAGCCTAGACACATGAGCTGTGAGTGAGACTCAGTATTGACTTTGGGCATCTCTTCTTGGGGCTTGCATGCTGGTTTCAGTTTTCTTTCTGACATCCTATTAAAACCCCACTACTCCACATGAAGCCCTGTTGAGGGTCACAGGCTGGGATGGGACTGGACTCCAGAATCTCCCTCTGGCCTTCTGCCTGTACAAAAGAGAGCCTGTAACAGCTTGTCACTAAATAGCTCAGGAGAAACTGCATCGCTCTAGTGGTAAAGTTTTCAAGGTGCTGAGACTCAAAAAAGATAAGTTATCTAAACTTAGAACCAGGTTAGGGCCTGTGTGCCTCAGAAAGAATCTCTATCAAAGCAGTTGTAGCACTTGGGAGGCTGAGGCAGGCGGATCTCTGTGAGCTCAAGGCCAGCCTGGTCTACATAGTGAGTTCCAGGTCAGCTGGGGTTACAGGGCCCTGGTCAGCTGGTCCCTTTTTGCCATTGTCTGAGGCCTGTGGATACTGGAGGGCCAGCCATATACAGTCCTTGCTGTGGGGGTCCCTACCTGTCCCACCCTGAGTGCATGGGCTGGGGTGAGTTCTGGCTTCAGAGTGGGTAGCAGTGGGCATGTGCATCAGGGTCAAGTCTTTCTCTACCTATTATGATGTAGTTTAGGCTCCACATTCCATCTGGTGTTGTCTCCTGGTCTCCACCCCTCACAGAAAGTAAACCCCCCCAAATTCCATCTTTTTTACACTAAAGTTAGGAAGTAGGGGGAGTACCAAAGTAGCATTTTCTCATGACAAGTGAGAAATCTCTTACAGAGACTTCAGAGGAACAGCTGGTTGGCATGGACTGAACAAACCGAAACCCAAGCAGATCCTGAGCTCTATTGAGACATTCCCTGGCACATGAGCGTTTAAAACCATGGCATTTACTGCTTAAAACAACCTTTCGCTTTTGCCAGAATTAAAGAAAACAGACTTGCTAAATGTTGGTAAAGTTTAGCATCTGAAAATTAATTTTCATACCTCTCCACAACACAGTGTCTATAAAAATCAGTGTCTTATTCATTTTAAGTTTTAATTTTTTAAGGAATAACCATCTTTCAAAGCAGGGTTACCTCATAGACTCTAAACCAAAAATAAAAGTCTTAAACTTTACTATATTTATTTGTTGATAGCCATTTATGGCTTTTTTTTTTCTTTTTATGACAGGGTCTCCCTATAGTTCCAGTTGGTCTGGAACTCTCTGTATAGACCAGACTGGCCTCTGTCTCACAGAGATCTGCCTACCTCTGCTTCCTGAGTGCTGGGAGGCATGCACTGCCACGCCTGGCGATAGCCATTTATGAACACACATAAATGGAACATCTTTCCTAGGATGGTGACCCATCTTTTGGGACACTTTAATATGTTTTCCTTAGAAAAATGTTAGTAAGTCTTGATATCTTGGTTCCAATATTATTGTCATAACAAAAATTAAATCTCTATCCATGATACAAAAGAAATTTCACCCTGGGTAGATTATATCTTTAAAGTTCTAATATGAAATCTTCTTAGCAATCACCTTAATTCAGTTGTTGCCTGGGCAGGCACATGGAGCCACATAGTGGGCTCTGAAATGAATCCTTCTGGCCAGACCTTTGGAAGCAGCATACGTACCTTTAGTATCCTAGGTAAGTTTCAGAATGGCATGTTTAAAACAAATCTTTAAACTGATAACTAGTATATATTACTCTGTATTTGTAGAGTGTAGGACTTGAGTGAATATTTAAAAATGGGACCTATGAAGATGGCTTGTTTTTCATGAAGGTTTTGTGAATTCACGTTCTTTTCAGACACTGTCCTCACTTGATGCTCAGTGGAAGGAGTAAAGTGAAGTGTTGTGGGCCATTCTATGCTAGTCTGTTAATGAAACTGATCACTCCTCTGCCTTGAATTTGTGTGTGTGTGTGTGTGTGTGTGTGTGTGTGTTTCTCTCTGTGTGTACCATGTGTCTGCAGGTACCTATGGAGACCAAAAGAAGTGTCAGGTCCCCTGGAATTAGGGTTATAGGCAGTTGTGAGTCCCCCAGTATGGGTGCTGGGAACTCAACCTGGGTCCTCTGCAAAAGCGCCAAGCACTCACAATGCTGAGCCATCTCTCCAGTTTTGTTTTTTTGTTTTTTTTTTTTTTTGAGACTGGGTCTCCCTGTCTGGTCTGGAACTCACTATGTAGACCAGGCTAGCCTTGGTCTCACAGACATCTGCCTGCCTCTGCCTCCTGAGTGTTGGGATTAAAGGTATGTACTACCATGCCAGGCCCTCTGATATATTTTTTACCTAAATCTACAATGCTTACCCTGTATTGTGAGGTTGTACTGCCCATGGTAAGATGTTTAGCAGCATACTTGGCCTATGCTGACTAGATGTCAGTAGCACTTCTAATTGTGACAACTCAGATGGTTACATGTAACTCAGGGTAGCCTCCAACTCACCGTGTAGCCAAGGATAACCTGATGCTCCTGATCCTCCTGCCTCTACCTCTCAAGTGCTGGAATTATAGGCACATACCACCACATCCGACTGCTTTGTTTTTTTGAGACAAGGTTTCTTGTAGCCTGGTTTGGCCTCAAACTTGCTATGTAACTGAGGCTGGCTTTGAACTTCTGATCCTCCTGCCTTTTACCTCCTGAGTTCTAGGATCACAGAAGTTCATCACCATACATATTTTTGGTTTTGTTTTGTTTTGTGTGGTGCTGGGGGTTGAACTATATGTGCTAGACAAGTATTCTACCAACTGAGCTACATCCCCAGCCCAAAACATGGGTTTTGTTAGTGGTAACGGCAGTCAGCATCATAAGAAACTGATGCCATCATCCCCTGGAAAATAAGACTTCTTTCTTCCTCCGTATCACTTTTTGCCTAGGCTTCTAATACCAAGCAAGATGGTTCTATTTTTATACATACAAAATACAAAGGAACAAAGTTAAAATCTCCCCCAAACCTCTGCTAACAGTTTGGCTGTTTTCCTTCCGTGTCAGTTGTAGAGCAAGATCATGATTTTCAATGACCATGGGGCATTCCATGGTGTAAACACATCCTTATAGTTTAACTTCCAGTGTCAGGCGCTTGGTTATTTCTTTCTTTTGCTGTCTAAATAATTCTTAAAATGAATGAACATCATCCATGTATAACTTATCCTTGGAGGACAAATTCCTACAAGCAAAATTATTGCATTGACTTTCATGTTGCCTTCTGGTGGGGGCCCCTGAAGGCCAGTCTGGCCAGGAGCAACCATTTCTAGTTCAGTCCAGTCTGTATTGGGGGCTTTTTCCTCTGTGTGATCACAGCTTTAAAGATTATCTCTTTCTTGAACATCAAGGGGGAATGTTTTTGTTTAGTTGTTTTTCTTTATGTTAATTACTTTGGTTCTTAGGTTAGGATAATAGTAAAAGTAATTTTTTAGAGGGAGAAGGTCTCCAGCATCCCACTAGCTTTTCCTGATAAATCTTTCCCTTTTTCTATGAGTATAATGCTTCTTTTTGTTGTTGCTGTTGGCTTGGGTTTATTTTTGTTTTTATTTTTTTGTCTTTTTGAGACAGGGTCTCCCTGTAGCCCTAGTTATCCTGAAACTCATTTTGTAGACTAGGCTGGCCTTAAACTCATAGTGATCCACCTGCCTCTGCCTCCCGAGTGCTAGGATTAAAGTCGTACACCAGCATGCCCAGCATTGCTGCTGTTTTTGACAGGGTCTCATGTATCTCTGCTGACCAAAGGTGACCTTCAGCTTCTGATGGTCCTGCCTCCTGAGTGCTGGGATTACAGGCATCTGCCACCATGACCAATGCTATAGTGTATTTTATGTCGCCAATAATTGGCTAAATGAGACACTAGCTAAAAATCTCAGGCTTTTATTTGATTCTTCTTTTTTTTCCTCTTTGCTTTTTATTTTATTTTTTTATTAAATGGATGATTAAGTTTATAAAAAGTAGGCTACAGTGAAAATCTGTCCTTCTCCCACCCTTGGGTTCCTCGTCTTCCCATTCCTCAAAGGTAGCCATAGCTACCAGATTTTACATCTATGAGATCACCTAATTCTGAATATGTGTTTCCTTCTTTCCAGAGTACTCTGCAACCATGTTTGTTGTTGTTTTTACCCGCCCCGCCCCCCCTTTGATAGGATATCATGTAGCCTAGACTGGCCTTGAACTCCTGGTTCTCCTGCCTCTCCCTCTAGTACAGGTGTGTACCATCACGCCTAACGCTTTAAAATTTTTTTTCATCTACTTTTTTTGAGACCTGTAGCCCCAGCTGGCCTGGAACTTGCTATGTAGACCAGTCTGGCCTTGAGCTCACAGTGATCCACCTGCCTCTGCCTCCCAAGTGCTAGGACTAAAGGTGTGTACCACCATGCCTGGCACCACACCTAGCTTTATAACCACTGTTTTATACTAACCATTTTCCCCTGGATCATGTATCCTGAAAATCATTCCATGTCATTCCAAATGGCTGCCTCATTCCTACAAATAATATTCTGTTATATAAGTCTATCAAAATATGTATCCTCTGTTCTCTTTGATGGATTTATACCCAAACTGAAGCTTTTACACACAGCATTCTAGTGACCATCTGTTCATAAGACACAGAGGTGAGGTAAAGAAAGTCAGTCCCTTTGCATCTGAGAGAGGTAGTTCTTTGCCCTTCTCAGGCCGGAGGAGAGAAGGATATCCCATGGTAGGTTCTGTTTTCTACCCTGGTATGACGAGGTGATGGAAGTCCTTGTGTCCAGCCATTTGTTTTTATTTCCTCAAGTGCGTTACAGAGCCAGGTTTAAAAAGGAAATTATTGGATTCTAGTTACTTAGGGGGAAATAGACTGTTTTCCAGAGGGGGAAAAAAAAATCCAGCATAGTATTTACTTTTAATATGTATGCTACCTTAATATTACCTATTCACGAGTGGTTTGCATGTCTTAAAGCTCAGAATAGCATAACTTTAATAAGCCATGATTAAACCATTTACTGTATTCTCACTATAGCATCTTGGTATTTTGAATCAATATACCTGTAGTCACGGCCTTCATTCTGTCCTTAACGACGGACTGTGTGTGGCCCCAGAACTGCAGTAACGGAGCGGTGATTCTGGTTTGGCTTGAAAACCCTGTTTATGCAAATTGGCTTAGTAAGATCAGTACTCTTCAGAATTTTTGGTAGGGATTTAGAAAGAAACAATCATATGAAGTATGCAAACCTACCCAGAGACCCAGAAAGGCCACTCACTAGGTGCCCAGGAGGGATAGGTAGCCTTTGGCTGGTACTGTAGGCAGCTCCTGGTCCTTTATTATGCTGCTTGTCTTGGATTGGTCTTGTTTGTCATAGAAGATTAGCGCTTCAGTCTTCCCAGAGGCCCATCTCTGGAGTTTTGAGGCCTACTGAACTTACTTTCATTCTCAGGCCTCCCACTACCTATAGGTAATCACTCTTGTTTCTTCCTAGGGAGTGGTTGTAAACCTTTTGTTTTTGACCTGGGTAATTTGGGTCACTTGCCCCCAAACTATGTTTGCTATTTTTAAAGATTATTGATTCTGAACATTATTTTTGAAGATTTTAGAATGACCTCTGAACTGGTTAAAACAGAATAGCACTAATGTCCTGCTTTATCAGGGTTTTGAGGGTTGGGACACTTGGTGGTATGGATGTGACTTCCTCTTTGATGTTACCTGCCTTCTGCCTGTCTTACTTTCTAGATGGATTGGCATAAATTTAATAGGCTTTATTTCAAGTGCCAGTAGACTAGCACTTGGTATAAAATGAGACTCAGCTTTGGAGAACAAGTCTTTATTCCTTTGGTGAAATATGTTATAGCCTATCAGAATAGCTCAGCAAATACAATCACTGGCTCAGTTGGAAAAAAAGAAGTAACAGAAAGTGATGAAAGTTTTCTGAACTATTTCTTGTATGAACTTACAACAACTTCAGCTCTTTTCTCTATGGTAGAACATTCTCTGGGCTCATACTTTAAAACCTATTGTTTTAAACTGTACTTTAACTCCATTCTGTCCTTAACTAGAGTAGTGATTCTGGTTTAGCTTGAGAATCCTCCATTCTGTCCTTAACTAGAGCAGTGATTCTGGTTTAGCTTGAAAATCCTGTTTATGCAAATCAGCATAGGTTATCTGCTTTGGATAGCTGCACAGGAGTCTTCTTGGTAAATTACATGTGCAAAGAAAACTTGTCTTGCTGTTGACCTATTCTGAAGGGCTTTCCTCCCCTGAAGCTAGGCATGTCTTGGAAGGTCACCTGCTCCCAACAGTGTTTGCTCATGAACTGTATTATTTTTCTAATACCAAACAGAATTTTTTGTTTACACTTTTTATTTATTATGATGATTTTTTTTTTATGTGTATGAGTGTATTGCTTGTACATATGTAAGTTCACCCATGTCGTGTAATGCCTGAGGAGGTCAGAAGAGGGTGTAGGATCCTCTGCAACTAGAGTTAGGATGGTTGTTAGCTGCCATGTGGGTGCTGGGAATCAAACTCAGGTATTCTGCAAGAGCAACCAGTGCTCTTAACTGCTGAGTTATCTCTCCAGCCCCAAACAGAATTTTTTAAAAAATATTTATTACTTTTATTTGTATGAGTATATTGCCTGCATGTATGTGAGTGCACCCATGTCACATAATGCTCAAGAGTTCAGAAGAGGGCGTCAGATTCCCCCTAGAACTGGAGCTACAAATGATTGTTAGCCGCTGTCATGTGGGTGCTGGGAATCAAAACTGGGTCCTCGAAAGAGCAGCCCTTGCTCTTAACCACTGAGCCAACTCTCCAGCCCCCTGGCAATTTTTTTTTTTTTTTTTTACGTTGTTCCACTGTAGTTTTTCTCAGGTTCCACTCTTGCCTTAACCAAGAGAGAGATATTCAACTTAACATTGATTTATGCCATTTTATACATTTAAAAATTTTTCCTCGGTTGGAATTTCTCAGAGATGGTGACAGATCATAGCAGTTACTTGCAGGACACAGATTAAAGGCCTTATAGATGGCAGTGATCACAATACAAACATTTTTTTGGCTGAGCAGGGAGCAGGCGAAATCATTCCATAACAGATGAGATGGTGTTCTGGATGCTTTTCAAAGCCAGCCTTTTTCTTTTTCTGTAATGCTGCCTCTGCTTTTCAACACCCACACACATCCCTTTATCCTGCTAGTCTGGAAAGTGTGTGAGAGAACTGACTTAACTAAATCCTCTGAGTACTTGACAGAAGACCCTGAAGTTAATGTCTGTCCCCTGGTCCGGGAGCTGGTTTAGCCCAGGCTCTATCCCCAGGCACACACAGAGGCATGGGGAACAGGTTCAGGATGGCAGACAGATTTTCTCTTGCTGAGAAAACTCTTTATTTCACTGCTGTCCTTGCAGTAGGCTGAAGCCACATAGAGAGATGCTGCAGACATCATTCAAGAAGCCCATTGTTATTTTAATGAGTCTGCATTAAACCATGTAGGAAATTAGAAGGCCCTAGTAATTGAACTGTGGAAAATTAATAGCTGGAGAAATTCATAGCCCTGCCATCATAATAGAATTAGGTATTGGCAATGGCTGAGAGGGCAAAAGTGCATTTTGAGAATTGTATATATTGTATATTTATGAGAAATCATCTTTCTTCCCACTGATACACCTTTATTTATTTATTTATTTTAGAGGCAACGTCTCCATTTGAAAACCTAATTTCCTCCCCTTGGAGATTTACATCATGCGATTGCCTTGTATTACTGTCATTAACTCAAGGTTACAATGGTTAACAAGCTGTTTCTAGACAGCTGAGCTCCATGGTAGGGTCTCTTCCCAAAGCTGAAGTGAATTTTACTTCTAGTAATTGTGGTGACTTTATGTTCCTTTGCAGTAGGAAGGGTCTCCTCTTGGTCCACTCTCCCCCATCTCACTAAGGGGTGTGGTCTGGGCATGATCTCCTGCCCTCAGGTCAGAGTCAAGGTGGTGAAGAACCGGAGTTCCTCATTGGGTTCAGCCAACTGTTTAATTCCATCTTGCCCACTGCTGAGCAGACTGCTGCAGACCTAGGCTAACCTTAGTCAATGGTTGGGGTCCCACCATTTAAAGGTCTTAGTAAGTTCAAAAGGAGCTTAGTCCTGAAACACAGTGATGCGTTAGTAAAGACTTTTTCCTTAAAAACAAAAACAGAAAAAACTCAAGGACTTGGGAGATGGCTTGGTGGGTAAAATGCCTGCTGGACAAGCTTGAGGACTTATGTTTGGACCCCAGTACCCTATCTGTAACCCCATCACTGGGTGGGAGCAGATCCCTAGCGCTCACAGCCAGCCTAGCCAAATGGATGAGTTTTGGGTGTGGTGAGAGATCCTGTCTCAAAAAAATAAGGTAGAGAGAGACTGAGGAAGACACATGCCATGGTTCTTTGGCTTCCACACACACATATACATATGTACCCACATATACATCACACACACACAAAACAATAAACAAATCAAATGTGGGACATGCTGTCCCTCTCATTTCCTCTTGGTCCTGGCAGGGTCATTCTGTAAAGATAAGTTTAACTTATAGCCAAAAATCCATTCTATAGGAAGTTCAGATTTGTTGCTCTCCCCTGCTTTCTACTCCGGTGCTAGATCCTTTGCATTTATTCCATATTCTCTGCAGTATTAACTAGCTTCTCTCTGAATTTTTCTTAGCATACAATGAACATTTATTGATGACTTACTTTGAGTCAGGTGCTGAGCGCTACAGACAGTAAATAGGAACACAGCCCAGACCTTGATCTGAAGAAGCTTGCAGGCTAGTGAGGGAGACAGAAAAGGGAATTCAGGGTGATGTAGTAAGTGCTATGACAGCAGCTAGAAAGGACTTAGCAGTTGACATCTAACCATTTGCATTGGCAAGGCCATTAGGTTCTTGCAGCATACATGGTCTTTTTCCCTGGTTAGAGTTCCCCTGTTTAGATATCACAGTTCTGGAGTGAGGCGGGTCCTTATCTTCTTCAGTAAAGGTAAGATCTGAGATGTTTAAAGTTGAGAACAGGAGCTGGAGGGATGGCTCAGAGCTTGAGTGTTTGCTGCTCTTCCAGAGGACCCGAGTTCCATGCTCAACACCACATCTTGCAGTTCACAACCACCTGTAATTCTAGCTCCAGGGGATCTGATGCCCTTTTCTGGCCTGAGCAGTCACCTGTTCACATGTGGCGTACACACACACACACACACACACACACACACACACACACACACACACACACACACACATATACATGAAAATTTAAAAAATATGTATTTAAAGTTGATGTCAGCCAACAACGAAAGTGCCCAGTGCAAGGTGAAGCTGCCCCCAAGAATGAGGACTTTTCTGTTCCTAGGACACATCCGGCTCCTGCCTTGCTGGGGCATCTTGGATATTTTGTATAATGGACTTCCTCATAGACACAACAATCCGTGTCCCTTCTTCCTCCCTTATTCAGAGCACCTCTGACTGTTTTGTCTTGTAGATTGCCAAGAGGGTGATCCTGTTGTCGGGCACACCAGCCATGTCCCGGCCTGCAGAGCTTTACACCCAGATCATTGCTGTCAAGCCAACATTCTTCCCTCAGTTTCATGCCTTTGGACTTCGCTACTGTGATGCCAAACGGGTACTTATTTTCTCTTGTCTCCCTGGTCCCCCATTCTTTACCCTGATGTTGACACTTACCTTACTGCCCCTTCTCTTTGGCTATGGTGTGAACCAAGAAACAGACCAGAAAGCTGGACGGAGAGTATTCTCAAAGGCAAGATGAAGTGGGTCCCTCCAAGTTGTAACATTTGTGGCTATTCCAGTGGTTACTCCACAGTTGTGAAGCACCCTGAGTGGTGCAGTCCTGGTCCAGCATACAGTTCCTGTATAAGATAGGGACCTGGGGCTTCAGAAAGAAAGTCTGTGCCAGTCTAAAGTGACCCCAGAAAAGGCAGCAAGGCAAGTTAGAGGGAAGAGCCTGGGCAGACACAAGAAAGCTGTGAGGCAGTGAGGTATCCTGGGAAGAACAGTCTTCTCTGTACAAAAAGGCCACAGAGAGCTTTGGAGCAGAGAGAGTACAGTGAGATCTGGAGCTGCCTTGGGAGGGATTCTCTCTCTGGGAACTTTTGCTGCTAAGTGGTGACTGCTAGGGAACTGTTGTTGCCAACCTCATCTGCGACCCAGTGGCTGTCTGGAGGCATTTGCTAAACTTCCTGTGGATTTGTCCTTTTTTTTTTTTTTTTTTATAGAAGAAACAGCATTGGGCTATTTTCTTTTTCCAACTTTGACCATCTCTTTTTTCAATTTAGTAGAGAGCTATGGGACACCTACCTTGTCTCCAGCATTATGCTAGACCCTCTAAAGTGAGCAAGCCCAGCCACCAACCCTCAGGCCAGTCATATAATCCAGAGCAAGGTGAAGCAGGAGGGGAATAAGCTGCCTAAAATGCAAAGCAGCAGATACCCTGTGCTCCCTGTTCTCCAAGATTGGAAACCAGCTCTCTTTCTAGTAAGATTCTTGGGGAAGGATAGGATTGGATTGATAGTTGATCCATTGATTGCTCTGATAGGATCTAGCCCAAGGCCTTAATATGTTAGACAAATGCTCTGCCACTGAGTTATACCCAAGTCCTGGTTCTTATTTTCGTTTCTAATATCTCTAGTTTTCCCTGTGACAGGGAACAGATATGTGAGATTATAGCTCTATAAGCTACTAATCAAGGGAACTGTGGTTTGAGGAATAGACCAGGAGCTTGGAAAACCTGCTGTGGTTCTAGCCACCTTTGCTCCCCAGGCTCCTTCCCTCCCTCCCATCTAATCATGGTCACTCACAGCAGTACCACAGTGGCCTTTGCTACATTGTACACATTGTAGCTGGTTGCTATAATCCATGCCAAGAAACAACAGTTGCTTAGAATCCCTTAAACCTCATCAAATAAATATGCTGTTGCCATATTGATTGATTGCACCGTGCAGTGGACTCTGTAGGATAAGTCTTGGGAAAGAGTTGTTTCTGTACTTTATATGCAGGAAAAGTCTGACAAGCTGAGTTTTTTTGCTTCTTAATAAAATAAACGCCAACCACTTGCCTTTCCAGATTTGCTGATGGAAACATTAGTGCCAGATTGTGGGATGTCATGACATGGGTTTTTGGTTCATCTCATGCCTTACTTTTTCCCGCTTCCTTCCTTGCCTCATTTGTCTTAAATGGGGTTCTTTCAATCTTGTGACACCACTTGAAATTCCCGGAACAAAACGGTGTGGTGAGAAAATAAAGTGCTGTCTGGACCTTCTAGGTTAACATCCTCTTTTTCTCCTCAGCTGCCTTGGGGCTGGGACTACTCAGGCTCCTCCAACCTGGGAGAGTTGAAGCTCCTGCTGGAGGAAGCAATCATGCTGAGGCGCCTCAAATCTGATGTCCTTTCCCAGCTTCCCGCCAAGCAGCGCAAGATGGTGGTGGTCAACCCAGGTCGGATCAGTGCCAGGGCCAGGGCTGCCCTGGATGCTGCAGCCAAAGAAATGACCAGTGACAAAACTGTGAGTGGGGCCTGGAGATGGCTGGGACATAGGTACATCCACAGGTGCCCTTCCTGAATGATGCTCTGTGCACATGGCCAGAGTTCTCCGAATTTGACTTTGCAACATCTTTTTCACCGCCTGGGGCAAAAATGGCCTACCCATTTTATTCTTCACCTGAATTAATCTACTGTGTATGGGGTGAGGAGTTGGGGGTGGTGGTATATGTGTATATGGCTCATGCATGTGATTGTGCCAGTGAGTCTTCCTCTATGCCAGTGAGTCTTCCTTTATGCCTCTCCACCTTATTTCCTTGAAACAGAGTCTCTTAGTGAACTGGAAATTCACTGTTGTTTTGGCTAGGCTGGCTGGCTGGCCACTGAGCTCTTGGGATCTACCTCTCCCCATTCCTCCAATGCTGGATTATGGGCATGTACTGTCATGCCCAGCTTTTTATGTGGATATAGGGGATTTGAACTCAGGTTCTCATGTTTGCAGAGCAAGCACTCTTACCACTGAGCCATCTCCCGAGCTCCAGCCTGGCCTAATCTATTTTGAAAATCCCTTATTAAGTTATGGTTTTATACTTATGTGGATTGCTGTTGAGGGATGGTCATAAAAGTAACCCCTGGGTTCCAGTGGCAGGGTGGTGCTGTATATTCCAAATTCCTCAAAGAAGGGGAAGTTGCTGCTTAGTGTATTTGAGAACAGTTGTTAGATCATTAGTCTACCATCAGGCATGTCCAGCCTTCTGACATTGTGACACAGTGTTGTCATTTACAAAGTTCGTGCTCAAGAACTAAGTAATTGGGGGCTGGAGAGATGGCTCAGCAGTTAAGAATACTGACTGCTCTTGCATAGGACCTGGGTTCAGTTCCCAGCACCTACATGGCAGCTAACAAACCCGTTGACACCAGTTCCAGGGTATTTGACATTCTCTTCTGGTCTCTTCAGGCATTGCACAGCATGGGTGCACTTACATACATATAGGTAAAACACTCATACACATAAAATAAAAATAATAAATGAAAGTCACAAAATGATCTCATAATGTTTTAAGTTTGTGACTTTGTGTTGGGTCTTTGGCTATATAGCCTGGTGCATATATTTCCTGTAATCAACCAGGTCATTTCTGTACTCAAAATAACAGATGTACATTTATGTAACAAACAAGACTTTTGAAACCTTCTGAATACTTTGATTCTTTATTTTAGTCATTTTTGGTTGTAGGAAGTTGGAATTCATATTTTACAGAGAAGGAAATGAGGCTCACAGAGATTGGCCACTCTTTGGCTGAAGCTAGAGCTCTTCCCACTGGCTGGTTTATCTTTTCAAAACAGTTGTGTTTCATACTTGTCTTTATTGTCACACCATATCAAGTGCTATAAAGAAATCTATACCAGCTCTATTTCTGTCTTTTGGGATAAAGCCTTATAATTTTCATTGGCAAGAAAATAACAACCATCGCTAATTTTTGACACTATCACAAAGCATTGTCTGGATCTGACATTTCCCCAAAGACAATCAGAACAGATGAGATCTCAGCCTCCTGGAAGAGTGTAGAATAAACAAAATGGCAAGAGACAAAATGCCTCATGTTTTCAGTACAAGGAGCAAGGTTAGATGGTAACTTTTAAGCAATGGGGTAGGAAAGAGGATGCCCTGATGGATTGTCACACTGTTTTAATTGTGCTGAACTGTGTATGACCTGGATGTCCCAGGGGAAGGGTTTGGTGTGATCTCTTTACCATAGAGTCTTCAAAAGGGATTTTGACCATAGAATAATGTCCTTGGTGGTGGCAGTGGTTTCGATTTGTTGTTGGGAGTCTTGCTTGCAGCCCAGACTGCCTTCCAATTTTCTATCCTTCTGCCTCTGCTTCTTGAGGGCTGAGATTACCAGTGTGTTGCACCATATCCAGCTAGAACAGTGCTCTCAAACTGTTATGTTTTGGCAGAATGAGGGTGCTCTGTCACTAAAAATCAATCTTGGAGGTCTTTTTCTGATTTCTACAAATAAAAATTTAGTGAATGGAAATTTTATCTCTTTTCAGTGAGGGGATGGGTGTGCTGGGGATCAAATCCAAAGCCATACCGCTGAGCTACATCCCCAGCTTATAACACACCTTTTTTTTTTTTTTGCTTTTTTGAGACAGTGGCCTAGAACTTGTGATGTAGACCAGGCTAGTCTCAGTCTCACAGCAGTCCCCCTGCCTCTGCCTCCTGAGTGCCTAGCTGATAATTTTTTCTTTACTCTTTAATATCTGCTGACTTTAGTGTACTAGTAAATACCACCAGACAAGACAACCAGTGAACAAGTACAACAAATAAAATATTAATGGGGAGAATTCAGACATGAATTTAGATGCAAAGATCTTAATAAGATATAGTGGGTTTTTTGTTGTTGTTGTTGTTAGGAAAATTTTTTTGGTGTGTGTGTGTGTGATGGAAGTCAGACCGTTAGTGTTTCTTGCCTGTACCTGGTCTGCCTCCTGACTCAGCTTGAGAACATCTGGTATAGAAACCAAGAAAGCAATTAGTGAGCATTTGAATTGAGAAAGAAAGTCACATTGACTGGCTGGGCAACAAGTGTGCATTGAGCAGTAAGCCAGGAGAAGGAAAGAATGGAATGAGGCACTGCAGGCTTGATACCTACTGCAGCAAACTGTGAAAGCAGGGCTTAAACTTTTCCCAGCTTGTACACTTCTTCAAGTCTGATGCATAACTTCAAAAATCATTCCAGGGACAGCCTGAAAGTTTGATTTCTGAATTTAATTTCATATCAAACTAATGGAATGAAATTTTGTTAGTGAAATTTAATTTTCCTGTGAAAATTAGGAATGTTGGTTGATTCATTGATATATTAATGGGGAGAATTCAGACATGAATTTAGATGCAAAGATCTTAAATTCAAAGTGGTTTTTTTTTTGTTGTGAAGAAAGATTTTTTTTGAGGGGGGGGAGAGAGAGAAAATGTGTGTGTGTGTGCGCGTGTGTGTGTATGTGTGTGTGTGTGTGATGGAAGTCAGACCTTTAGTATTTCTTGCCTGTACCTGGTCTGCCTCCTGACCCAGCTTGAAAATTTAGTAAGATATAGTGGGGTTTTTTTTGTTGTTGTTAGGAAAGTTAGGTAGCCATGTAAATCCTTACATTTGGTGGGCAGATATTATAGGGTTTTTGTTGTTTGTTTTTGAGGGTTTTTTTTTCTGTTTTGTTCTGTTTTGTTGAGACAGGGTCTCCTTGTAGCCCAAAATGACTTGGAACTCACTATGTAGACCATGTTGGCCTTGATGTTACAGAGACCTGCCTGCCTGAGTGCTGTGCAACACCATGCTTTGGGGAGGATATTTTAATGTTTTTGTAGGTAAAACAGTGAAACACATCCTGCCTTGGTGCTGAAAAGAATAAGGATATGGCTGGGTGTGGTGGCACACGCAGAGGCAGGTGGATCTCTGTGAGTTCAAGGCCAGCCTGGTCTACATAGTGAGTTCCAGGCCAGCTAGGGCTACAGGGAGACTCTGTCTTAAAAAGACTGGAAAAAAACCAAAACAAACCCATAATGATAAGTGTAGCTTGCCTAGAGTTCTGTCTGCATCTGCTGGGTGATTATCATTCTTGTCTTATAAATACCCTGGAGTCCTCATCCGCTTGCAGATTGTGAAAATAAAGGCAGAATTCGGCTAAGATAGCCCAGAGCTCTTCCCAGTCCTGTACTTGAGAACTGCTATCTGCTTCCCTGGAGCTTTAGCCACTTCGTCTATCCCTAGAAGATGTAAATTGCATTGGTTCAGCTTACCTTGGTGATTTCTGAAACCAGATGCTAAATTCTTTTAGATAAGAAGTCCTTGAAAAGTTGATGCCTGTTCATTTTATTCAGTGTAACTTCATTTCTGTGATGGAAGGTTCCAGCAGAAGATGGGCCTTTGACTTTTCACCAAACCTTCCCACTTCCCAGGCTGGTGACCTATCTTGCTAAGCTCTGGACCCCACCAGGAGTACTGCTCTAACTTCATTCAGGAAGGGGAGCCAGCATCAGGTAGACAGTAGACTGGGTGACCACATCCATACCTTCTAAACCCCAATCAGCTGTGAAATCCTGAGTTGAAGGGTTGAAACACAGCACCATGTTTTCATGGTTTTAGTCAAATAAGGAGGCTCTGAGACTACAGAAAGAACCTTGTTATAGTTACTTTTTAGCCCCATGTTTTCCTGCAGCTTACACATCATGGTTGCCCCATCAGCCACTGCTACCTGTGTGTCAAGACAGGCTCTTTGTTCCTTCACACCTTTCCATGTAGAAGAAGACATTTTAAAAAAAAATTTTTAATCACAAAAGCCAAGGTGAAGCAGCCAATTCAAAAAATATAAAATTATAATGAAAGCTTTTCTCATTTTTCAGCTGTAATAATAGATATCTCCTCAAAGGCTAAGGAAGGCTGACTTGAATTATCTTTTGTCTAAAGCTAGTTTTTGATCAGCAAGAGCAGGAACAGGAAAATGGAGCAGGTCCATGTGGAGTTCCTGGTGGCAAGTAGCTGTTCTCCTTGACGTTTAGCAGTCCATTCAAATTTCCAACATAGAAAATAAATCTGAAAACTCCAGTGGATCTGTTTTAATAAAAGTCTAGGAGACAGGAACAAAGAATGCAAGTTATTTAAAATTTCCTTGCCTGTCCCTGGAAAGAAGTGAGGCCACTAATGGATGATGTGATGTCGCCTCAGTTTAGTCTTTCTTTTTTCTTTTCTCCTTTTTTTGTCTAAAGAGAAAACTATTGATTTCTCCCATATTAAAAATACCACTAAGACGGGATGTATAGGTCAGTGGTTGAGTACTTGCTTAGTATGTACAGGGCCCTGGGTTTGATCCCTAGCTTTGTAAAAAAGGGGAGAAAAGTACAGTAGATTTCAATAATATATGTCTACTGTGTAAAATAAAGAAAAATACTTATAATAATTGTCTTTGACAGCACTTGGGAGGCAGAGGCAGGCGGATCTCTGTGAGTTCGAGGCCAGCCTGGTCTCCATAGCAAGTCCAGGCTAGTTGTGGCTACAGGGGGACCCCGCCTCAAAAAGACAAAAAAAAAAAAAAAAAAAAAAAATTGTCTTTGGTTTCACATAATTTTGTCATGTAACGCTTGTGTATTTTCTTAATTTATGTTCTATTTATTTAATATGGGAGTGGTGGGGGGCCTCATGTACCATGATGCACAAGTATAAGTCAGAGGACAGCCTGTGGAGGTTGGTTCTCTTTTTCTACCATGTAGGTTCCAGGGATCAAACTCAGTTCCTGAGGCGTGGTGGCAAGTGCCTTTACCCACTGAGCTATCTCTCCAGCCCACATATGTATGTGTATCTCTCCTCCACCATGCCTGGCCATGTATATTTTTCAGATTGAGACCCAAACTATATAAAAAACATGGTTTCTTATCCTGGTAAGGTAATTCTCTTATGTAGGAGACAGGCCACCACTGAGGCTGGGAAGCTCAGTAGTCCAGTTGGGTCAGCTTACCCCAGAGTGCTGAGTGTGGGTCTTTAAACTTCCATTGTGCCTTTCAACAGAAGCAGCAGCAGAAAGAAGCCCTCATTGTGTTCTTCAATAGAACTGCTGAAGCTAAAGTCCCATGTGTCATGTAAGTGGGAAGCAGGTGTCTGCCTATTGTTCTCTCTCTCTCTCTCTCTCTCCCCCTCTCCCCTTTAGTGCCGTATTTATTTGTCTTCTCTCTGTCAAACCCTGGGCCAACCACTTTCTTCAGACTTCCTGGGGGACGTACAGGAGGAGGAACATACACGGCAGATGTGAGAGATATGGGAGGGCTAAGCAGAAAGCTGTGTTTGTGCTGAGTTTGGATCCCCAGCACCCACATAAAAAGCCAGGGCCTCTGCATGCATCTGTAATGCTAGCTTTGGGGAGGCAAAGACAAACTTACCTGGAGCTCGCTGGCCAGCAACCCACCAGCCAGCCTAGCAAATCAATGAACTTTAAGTTTAGTAAGAGACTCTGTCTCAAGAAAAGTAAATAGGGGCTAGAGAGATGGCTCAGCAGTTAAGAGCACTGGATGTTTTTGCAGAAGACCCAGGCTCGAGTCCCAGCATCCGCATGGAGGCTAGCAACCATCCCTAACTCCAGTTCCAGGGGATCCGATCCCTTCTCTCCTCCACGGGCATTGCACAACACGGGTGCACTTACATACATGCGGGCATTATACCCATACACATAATATAAAAATAAATAAATAAATAAATAAATAAATAAATAAATAAATAAATAGAAAAGTAAATAAAATAACAAGGTAGAGAGTGACTAAGGACAACACTTGATGTTGACCTGTGGGGCACACACACACACACACACACACACACACACACACACACACACTGCAGCTGGAACGTGAGGCAGTCTCAATGATGTACACTTTGCCTGATTTTTTTAATTGCTTGGCCTCTGTGGTTCTGGTGGGATAAAGGCCCAAACAATTCAGTTACAATCAAAACAAATTTCATGTAGGCCAAGTGGTGCCACACTAGCTGTGGGACTGAAATCTGTAGATTAAGTGAGAAAACTAACCTACTTGGTCCCTTCACTCAGACCCCAAACCTCCTGGCCCACCCACTTGTCTCTGAATTGTCCCTGCTAGCCTATTTTTCATATGCTGCTGAGTAACATGGTAAGGTTTTGTGGGGTTTTTTTTCATCTTTTTTAAGACAGGGTCTCCCTGTAGCCACAGCTGGCCTGGATTCACTATGAAGACCAGGCTGGCCTCGAACTCACAGAGATCTGCGTGCCTGAACTCACAGAGATCTGCGTGCCCCTGCCTCCTGAGTGCTGGGAATAAAGGCGTGTGCCACCATGCCCAGCTACCTGGCAAGTTTTTTGCCTCATTCCCTCAAGCTGTAGCTTACAAAATGCAGGGTCTATGGGCTAATTCTCTGTTCAGCTATTAGGCCCATTTCTCTTAGAATTTTAAATATAACCATTAGAGGCCGGGCGTGGTGGTGCATGCCTTTAATCCCAGCACTTGGGAGGCAGAGGCATCGATCTTTGTGAGTTCGAGGCCAGCCTGGTCTACATAGTGAGTTCCAGGACAGCTGGGGCTACAAGAAGACCCTGTCTCAAAAAGATAAAAAACAAAGAAAAAAAAAGAAAAAGAAAAAAATGTGTATATATAACCATTAGAAAAATTCTGACTTGTTTCTTGATTTGTTTTTTTTTTTGGAGTCGGGGTGGCAGTGCTGGAACTTGAACCCAGGGTCCCATACAGGTTAAATAAGTGTTTTGTATAGAACCACATCCCCAGCCCCTAAGTCTAACCATTTTGCCACCTCATAAATAAACCTGGGTCATACCATATATATATATATATATATATATACAACCAAGTTCAGTTTTAGTAGAGATTTTTTTTCATTTCACACTGTAGTCTCTTTGTGGAGTCTGTAGTTACCACATTGGCCCCATTTTTAAAGTGGATCCTGAGTAAATCTCTAAGTCTCTGGACCTCAAAGTCACACATCTAGTCAGTGGAAATTAGACTATAAATCTCAAAACTCCAATTTCCTCCGTTTTTCTACCCCTTTTTGCTGCTGTTTGTTTTCTTTGTAGTGGGCTTTTTTTAGTATAGTAGGCAACAGTATTATAGTAGGCAAATAGTAATGAAAAGAGAGACTTGAAATGGAAAGAGCAGTTACACTGTGTCAGATGTGGAGGGGAAGGATGGACATTGGGAAAATTGGGGCCAAGGGTTTTATGAGCTGACCAAGTTGGTTTTGTGATCCTGTGGCTTCTCAAGGCTATGGCAATAAACTTTTTCACTTATATCATGACAAATTTTATGTGTCTCAGAATAATTAAAGTAGATTCTGTTAGTACAGTGGTTACAAATTGAACTGTAATTTAGTACTTTGGTCAGTTATCAGTGATGCTGTTTGAAAGTAATTCTTAGATATTTACAGGACAGTCTACTTACCTTTCCGGCCCTACATGTCATAGGAAGCTGTTGAAATCTGTCCTTCTCTAAAGAAGGCCTTATCTACTCTCTGCCTAACTACCCTTATCTAGGGATGACCTCAGGCTGGGTGAGGGTTCTTGTAGCTCAGGAGGGAACAGTGTTTAACTATGTAGTTACTTCAGTGAGGTGCTAATCCAGGGGGAACCGCCAGGGTGTGTTGACTGAGTGGCTCTCTGCCACACAGGTCCCCTGCAATGACAAGCTGCCCTTAGGGTATGCCAATTAAAAAAAAAATACGAAGTTAAGAAAAAACACAATGGATGGAGGAGAGAGGTAGTGGGGACTAAGGAAATGGGGTCCTCCCCACCATTTTTCTTTGTCAGAGAGAAGAACTCCATGAATATTGATTTAACTGTGGGCTCTGTCATCTGAGGAATGGAAAGCCTCCTTCAGTGTCTCCTCTGTATGTCACTTATTCTCACTGCTGAGCTTCCAGGAATTTGTGTGTGAGGATCCCTTAACCCCCACCTAGTTGTTTCAGAGGTGCATAATGACTTCAGTTTGTACTGAAAACAGATTACAGTGATCGTAGCAACTGAAGTGGCCATCTTAGACAGTCTAGTTAACACAAATCGCACTTAATAAGATTCTTTCAGTAACATACTAGAGACACATAAAGCTTATGTTTATGGATACTTCAATTTATATATGTGAGATGAAAGTTCAGCATTCTCTTTGTGTACATCAGAAGATGGTTTTCCTCCCAGTTCCTCCTTTTGCTCCATTCATTTGACTGCATGTGAGGGAAAGCCTTTAAAAGGTTAGATCTCAGGCCATGTGTGATAGTGCACTCCTATAGTCCCAGCACTTGGGAGGCAGAAGCAGGCAGATCTCTATGAGTTCAAGGCCAGCCTGGTCTACATAGCGAGTTCCAGGACAGCTGGGGCTATAGGGAGCCCCTGCTTCAAAAAATTAATTAATTAAATAAATAAATAAATAAATAAATAAATAAGTAAATGGTTAGATCTCAGAGAAGGGAGAGAATGGATTAGAGAAGGCGGAGAAGGCCTTGTAGGTTGTTGAAGCCATTTTTTGATAACTAACTTCAATTGCATGTTTATTTTATTTTGTTGTCATTGTCAAATATAGTGAATATATCCTGGACCTTTTGGAAAGTGGAAGGGAGAAGTTTCTAGTGTTTGCACACCACAAGGTGGTTCTGGATGCAGTTACTAAGGCGCTTGAGAGAAAGGTAAGTTTCTCTGCAACATAGTCTTGACTTTTACTTATTTATGTGTCAGGCTTCCTGAACAGGGTTAGATCAAGACTAAGCATAGAAGTGAGATGATGCTTCTAGAAGCATTGCTGGGGGTTTTCTGAAGAGTGCTCCCTAGGTGGAACCAGAGAGTGTTTCCCCAGGTGCGCTGCTCTGACTTGCCCTAGGTGGGAGCCTTGCCTTAAGACTTGTCTCAGGGACTCTCCATTTTCTGCAGTCATAATTCAGCTGGCCTGAGAGGAGGTCGCCAAGTGCATAGGAATGTCCTCCTCTCCCTTTTGTTCCTCCTTGTTATCCAAGTGCCTTTATTTATTGCACATAGTGTGCAGACGTCATTACAGTTTTAGCCTCTTGATAAAGTGAGCGATAACTACCTGGAGGGATTTCCAGGGATGGTCATTAAAACTAAACACTGTATTTTCCCTTCTGCTAAGTTTAGGACCATAAATTTCCTTTTATTTTCCTTTATTATTTATACTTTCATAATGTTTAAAGGGTACAAAGTGCTATACAACACTTACATATATCCCCCTCTGAGTGAATAAGTGAAGGCTCGCTGTGTTTATTTCCAGGCTTAGTTTATAAGTAGTAAAATACTTGAGCCTCAGCTGAGTATTCTAATTTCACTCCCTTTCTTCCTCCCTAGAGTCCCCCGTCTTGGATTTAGTCTCTTCCGTGTGTGTGTGTTTTACAGTATAAATATGTGCTTTTTGCTGTTTTGTTCAACCTTATTTTTGAGTTTTCTCCATATCATGCAACATGTGCAGTAACGCATGCAGCTCATCTACTCTACCAGCTAGTAGCTTCTGATTGACTCTCCATTGTCCTGCTGACAGGCATGGGATTTGCTTAGAGTTTTGCTGTTAGTGAATAGTTTTGAAGCTGTATCTGTGCCTGTATCTGTATTTCTGTGTGCCCTGTGTATGGCCACAGTCATTGGATAGGTTCATCTTCAGTTTACTAGATTTTGTCAAGTCTCTGTCCAGCATATGTTCAGATGTATGATGCCCCAGCCGTGTATAAGAATCCTTGCTATTCTGTGTTCTCAAACACACTTTGTATTATCAGATGTTTTATTTTTGCCAGTTTAGCAAAATGAAATCTCATTTTGTTCTTTCTTGTGTTTGCAGCTCCCTGACTAGCAGGACACGGTGTCTCTTTCATTGTGCTTGTTAGTCAGTTTTGCTCACTGTGAAGAGTCTGTTGGTATCATTGACCCATTTTTCTTTTGGATTGTTGTTTTCATTTTTTTTAAAGATTTTTTTTTTTTTTAGACTTTTTTTAAGAAAAGGTCTTCCTATAGCCCTAGCTGGCCTGAAACTCATTAAGTAGACCAGGCTGGCCTTGAACTCCCAGAGATCCACTTGCCTTTGCTTCCCGAGTGCTGGGATCAAAGGTGTGTGCTGCCACACCCGGCCGGATTGTCTTTTTCTCATTCAGGAAAGTTCTTTATAAATTCTGGAGATTCAGAGAGATGGCTCAGTGGTTAAGAGCACTGGCTGTTCTTCTAGGAGACCCAGATTCTGTTCCCAGCACTCACATGTCAGCTAATAACTGTCCTAATTCCAGCTCCAGGGGGATCTGATGCCCTCTTTTGACCTCTGCAGGCACTGTACAACATGGGAGTACTTACATACATGCAGGCGATACCCTCATATACATAAAATCAAAATAATAAATAAAATATATTGTTTTAATTCTAGATATTCATCATTTATCAATTATGTCTTTAGTTTTTCACTTTGTTTCTTGTGAACAAACAATTTTTTTTAATCTTTTTAGTTACATTTCAAATTTTTATCAGTGTTTTTCTTTTGTGGCTTGTGCTTTTTGTGACTAATTAAGAAATCTTTCATTATATGATGTTATAAAGATATTCTCTTGGATTTTAAAAAATTTGAATTTTTTTGTTTTTAAAGCTTCATCAAGGACATTCTTTTTTTAAATTTTGATTTATTTGTAATTTCATGTTTATTAGGTTTTTCCTACATGTATGTTAAGTGTACCATGTGTGGTGTGCATTGCCTATGGAGGCCAGAAGAGGGTGTCAGTGCCCCCCTTCCCCCAGAACTGGAGTTCTGGATGGTTTGCTGCTGTGTGGATGCTAGGAATTGAACCTGGGTCCTCTGTAAGAGCAGTCAGTATGTTTAACTCCTGAGCCATGTCTCCAGGCCCTCTGTTGTATTTTTTTCTCTGAAAGTTGCAGGGGTGGATCTTCAATCCTTTCGGATTTGGATCTTGCACACAAAATGGCATAGGAAGCAGGCTGAAATACCTAAAGCTGATCTCTGGGAGGAATCTCATGTATTTTCAAGAAACCCAGGACAATTAGTTGGAAAACTATTAGACTGTGTGCGTTTAGTACAGTATTTCAATTCAAAATACAAATAGTAAAATATATTATAACCAGAGACTAGAGAGATGGCTCAGTGCTTAAGAGCGCTTGCTATGCAAGCATCGGGAGGGGAGTTTAGATCCCAGTAAAAAATGTGTTCTGGCCTCCACATGGCAAACAAACTTCAGAAGAGGGTTGAGTAGCAGAGCGGCTCTGTCCCTGGGGCCCTGGCTAGATGGGCTTGCTGGGCAGCCCCCAGACACTCTTGCAGCTCACCTTTGCTTCCCCCACTTGTCTGGCAGCATGTTCAGCATATCCGTATCGATGGCTCCACCCCCTCAGCAGACCGTGAGGAGCTCTGCCAGCAGTTCCAGCTGTCTGAAGGGCACACAGTAGCAGTGCTGTCCATTACAGCTGCCAACATGGGCCTCACCTTCTCCTCAGCTGACCTGGTGGTGTTTGCTGAGCTGTTTTGGAACCCAGGGGTAAGGGATGCAGTAGACTGGAATACCCCTGGGTGTGCCTCAGGGCTGGGGGAATTCCAAGACTATAAATAAACGGTGAAGAAGACAGTTCCTGTGAGTTTTCCCTAGTGTTGGGTCAGTCTGTTTCTGTTCACTCTCATAACCGTGTTTGTACCTGTTCATTTTCACTCCTTTTTAAGCACTACAAGTCTGTTGGCTAGATTTTAGGTCTTCACAACAGGATATGGGGTCATCGATTCAGTCTTATAAATGAGGAAGTCACAGAGGGCTAGAAGAAGTCCTAGCTTTCATTTCTCCTGTGATAAAACTGGGCACAGAGAGCCCAAGTGCAGACCTAAGACTGCATAACCAGACCTTTAGGGGCCCACACCCATGCCCCTTTAGTTAGTAGTCCCTGTGAGCTGCTCTAGCCAGTGAGGGTTTCACAGAGTGACAGCACCAAGCATCCACTCAACGTCTTTGTGTCCTCGACTTTACTGATTAACTGAAGGCTGTGACAGCGAGTCTAAGATATTTGTTTGAACTCATAAAAATTTCTCTTAAGTCTCAGAAAGTAGCCATTTTCCCTCTGATGGGTGGACCAAGACTGAGGCCATTCATTAAGCAGGGTTCTTGATTTTGGTAGGGTGTTATGGGGCTTGTCACCATATGAAAACAACATTCACCCCTACTTATCAAACAGGACCCCATTTTTGGATGTGATATTTCTAGCCATTTAGAAGATAACTTTTAATTCCCCAGAGACAAGAAATGGCAGTGTGTATGTTTGCTTCACTGCTCTTAGCACACAAGGCCTGTGCACACTCTACTCACATACCTAGCACAGTGCCCAGCCCAGTGTGCTGCTACTGGTACGTCCCTGATGAGCAGGGTTGTGTTTGAGTCTCTCTTAGCAGCTAGAGAGAAAGGGAAATGTTTTGAGGAGGAAGTTCAGTGGGGCTTGGTGGTAAGTAGCCTCTCACTGTGACAGGATGGACCACTTTAAAGCCTTTCTTTAGCTGTCTTGTTCCCTGGGCATGCAGGTACTTATCCAGGCTGAGGACCGGGTACACCGCATCGGACAGACAAGCTCTGTGGGCATTCACTATCTGGTTGCGAAAGGCACAGCAGATGACTACCTTTGGTATGCCTGGGTGGGTGGCCTGGATGAGGAGTTGAGCTGAGGTGGACATGGGATGTGGTTTCTTTGCTCCATCAGCGTTTCTGCTTTTGCTGAGGCTATCAGGGGTCTTCAGAGAAGACCCATTAGTAATGCTTCCTGCTATCTTTGTGACCATGTTTGACCTTCATCATTCAGCATTCCTTGGAGACCTGTAGTGTATGGGAGAAAATGCAGTGAGAAGGGGAACTCTTCCCACTAGTCTGAGACAGGGAGGCAAACTTAGAACTTAGATGGAGTTTGATTGATAAAGCACTCTGTTCCCTCCAAGAAAGCACTTGTTAGGATGGGGGACAGCTTTCCTTTTTTGTGACTTGTGCTATCATGGTCACCTCCTACAAGGCTACAGCTGGACACAGGGAGAAAGTGGCTTATCCTGGACCATGCAGTGCCTCATGGCAGAACTGGGGTCACTTTTGTGTGTGTCGGGTGTGTATTGAGGGTTGAACCTAGAGCCTCACATATGCTAAGCAATTTCTTCGTCACTTAAAGCTGTATCACCCAGTCCTTTCTATTTTCTAATTCAGCATAGGGTCTCACTAAATTGCTCAGGCTGACCTTGAACTCACTCTGTAGCCCAGGCAGTTCTTGAATGCAGTCTTTCTGCCTCATACTTGTGGAGAGCTGGGATTAGACCTGTTCTCTAAGCCTGACTGGAGTCACACTTTCAACCCTGGCAGTTTGTCTATCACCTAATTAAAAATTCCCCAAACATTCTTTCTCAGTCCCGTTTCCCTATTCCCGATGTTAAGCTTCTTGATTATCTCATTAGTGTCTGCTTTTTATCTGTCTTCAGTCCTCTGACTTAATGGTTTGACCTCTGCTGTGCAGTTGGATCACCCTGCATTTTCTGTTTTTAAATGGATTTGCTCACTGAGCAGCTCCTAATAACACTAAGCTCAAATTTTTGCTGTAATGAGGCAGGATTTATTTCCCACACATCTTGCACTAGAGAGAATTTTGAGCTATGAACCCAAATTGGATTGTTTTCTATTGAAGCAAGACAAATATTTTAAGAAGGATGTTTGTGTCTTAAGAGATGCAAAGATCTGAAATAGTTACCGCATTGCATTCCCACAAGGATGAGGTGACCGCTTTTTCATCAGTCTGCAGGGTCTGAGTAGGCTGTATTCACCGAAGCTCATTTCTTCCCCACAGGCCTATGATTCAAGAGAAGATTAAAGTTCTGGGGGAAGCTGGGCTTTCTGAGACCAATTTCTCAGAAATGACAGAAGCCACTGATTACCTCTATAAGGTAATGCCAGAGGAACAGAGGGAGGCGGTGAGCTGACTGAAAAGCTCTTGGGGCCTGAGGGGGAAGATGCCAATCCCTCCTGAGTGTCCTCTAGCCCTGGAGCTGAAAAGGAAGGGCCTGCAGTCTCAGTTCATCTGCCTGTGTAACCCTTATGAGGAAGTGCTGGTGTCAACTACTGCTGCTCCTCAGCATGTCCTAAAGACTCTAAAACCAAGGCTCCCAACTGCTGCTGCTTTCATTAGACCATGAGACATGGTGGAAAACTCCCTATGCAAACGTTGTATGGTCACAGTAAGCACAATAGCAATACCAGGCATACAGTAGGGCAAACACTGAACAGTCCCCAGCATAGAATGGAGAAGGCATTAATACAGGGCATAGCTTCGAAGGACATGTTCGTGTCTGTCATTTCATGTTATTTCCAGTGTCTCCCCATTTTACAGAAGGATAAACTGACACACAGCAGAGCCATAAGACTTGTACAAAGTCCCAAGGCATGTGAAACTAGCCCAAGATAGAAGTCCTCCCACCTCAAACCAGTATTCCTCTGTAACATCGGCTTTCATTGTAAAGGCAAGTAAGAGGCCAGAGAACATTCTCCCATGACTGCTGTACATTGTCAGAGATGACAAGAGGAGACTTCTTTGCTCTGGAGAGGACAGGTCCAGGCCCACCATGCCTGCTCTGCCCATACCCTCCATCTCAGTAGCTGTCATCACCTCTTGCTTCTCTGTTTCAATGAGACACCATAGAGCAAGAGGCTCAGAGACCCCAAAGGCTTGTCTGCTTTCACCAGCTCTAGTGGTCGACCCTCGAGATGAAAACTCTTGAGGTACTGCCTCCTGGAGTGTGAGTCATGAATGAATTCTTTCTTAGCTAGAATTGGGCAAGGAAGGTAGCTTCATGGTGTAGCTCACCTGAGAACTGAGGTATCTTCTTTCTGTGGAACTGCTAGGTACCAAAAGTTGAGTTAAACCAACAACAACAGTCTTATACGTGACTAAGACAAGAATCTGAAGAGCTGGGCAGGTGTGGTGGCACATGCTTTTAATTCCAGCACTCAGGAGGCAGAGGCAGACAGGTCTCTGTGAAATCAAGACCAGCCTGGTCTATGTAGGGATTTCCAAGCCAGTCAAGACGACATAGTAAGACCTTGTCTCAAAAAAACAAAACAAAAAGAATCTAAGAATCTGGTCAGTCACTTTTTTTTTTTTTGTAATTGGCTTTTTGACATAGGGTGCAGACCGGTCTTGAACTCATGGTCCTCCTGCCTCGGCATTCTGAGTGCTAGGTTTATAGGCATGAGTCACTGTGTTCAGCAGATAGCAGATTTTTGAATGTTGACTATAAATTATTTTTTGGACAAAAAGTAACTAAGTCACCTTCAAGACATCCTTACCTTTAAGCTTTTGAAAGCACTCTAATTTATCTGATGGTGAATATTTTGACAACCATAAGCTATTATATACCCTTTGAAAAGAAAGAACCGTATTTCTAAAAGATTCTCATCAAACCCTTCTTTCATCCTGGCTGTTCCCTCAGATACTTCGAATCCATTAAGAATTTTCTGCCTAAAATACAAGTGCAAGATAATGTAAATGAGATTTATCAGTATTTATTTTTATTAAAATTTTATCAAATTATTAATTTTTACAAAGATATAGCTGAAAAATTTCATTATCAAGTAGAAAAAGAAAATGTCACCTCCTTTATGAACAAAAGCAAAAGAGGTTATATCTGAATAAGACAGTCTTCCTTCCAGAAGGGGAAATGAAATATTAATCTGATCTTGGAACTTACTTCTAATTAATTATGCATGTTCCAGGTTTGCAAATAGTGTTGCCACCATCATAATCAAGTGCACATTAACAGGTATTTCTATTGGGCTTCTTTGCAGAGCAACATTTCTTGACTTTGTGCTTGTTCACAAAAAGGTTGATGGGTACATATCCCTTGAGAGGGTGCGTAGATCATGCTGAGTGCAGCTTTAATGGTCTTCAGTATTTCTTCCTGCTCTGAAGCCCTGGGATCCTGAAAAGCTAGGAGATGTGGGATATAGGTTAATGGAATGATCTAGAGTTCTTACATGACTCCCCTGGTTAGTTTTCAAGAGACTTTTCTTCATTCGTGTTGAGGAATTCAGTTAAGAAATAGTGACCAGTTAGGTTGAGACATAATGACAAAGGGCCACAAAGCCAGGGAAACAACTTTAGACTTGATGAGGGGGACACAGTATAGCCCAATGGCATGCGAAAGAAAATCTTGTTAAAGGACCATCTGGAAGCAAAATCAGGCTGGCAGAGATGTAGGGGCTGAAGGAGATGGGAAGATGCTTGAGGCAGAAGTCCAGTTGAACTCTTGTAATCCTTGCATATACCAAGTGATATGGCTCAAGTCAAAACTACCTTGGACTGGAAAGATGGCTTAATGCTTAAAACCACTTGTTACTCTTGCAGAGGAACCAAGTTTGGTTCCCAGTACCCACAGTGGGTGCCTCACATGCCTATAACTCCAATTCCAGGAAATCTGATGCCTTCCCCTGGCCTCTGCTGGCACTCATACATGTAGCATACAGATATACATACATATACACATAAATAAAAATAGTTTTTTAAAGGGACTTGGTAGGAAATAATGATGGCAGGAATAAAACTTTTGAGCTAAGGACTCAAGGCACACTAGTAGTTTCAAGCAGAAAAACTATCAGAATATAGGTGATTTTTTTTAAAGTGGAGAGAGAAGCTGGTTTGGGGATATGATGCGATGAACTGAGACGTGTGACACATGTAGAAGTCAGAGGACAACTCGCAGGAGTCCATTCTTTCCTTCCACTTTTGGGGGTGCCAGGGATCGAACTTGGGTCATCAGGTGCCTTAACCCACTGAGCCATCTCTCCAGCTCAGTATTTTGATTTTAAATAGTTTTATTGATCTGTGGATTTCCACAAAGATGTTGAAAATGTACCTCTGGACCATGAGATGGTTGGGACTAAGAGACTTAAAGGAGCTTAGTGGAGGAGTGTTGGTAAGCCTATCATGTGCCATGGTTGTCGCTGCTGGGCCTGGTTTTAACATGACCAATGACAAGACACATGTAAATAGTTTGCATTTTGATCTTCTGTCCCTTTAACATCAGGGACAGGGACAGGTATCCACTGTGAAAATGATTTAGAATATATCCTGGAAAACAAATTTTGAAGAAAAATTACAATTTAACTCTTCTATTTAGAAAGACTTAGGAAGACGTGAGCTCTCTGGAACTGTTTTAATGTTTAAATACTGATATGGAAAATTAGAAAGGGAAAAAAAAACATTTTTCAACATAAAATTTAGAGTGAGAGCACTCTCCTTGCTGTTACAACCTTTCCTTTTTATTTTTAACCCCAAGTAGCAGAGATGTCCTGAAGCAGGAAGGTTTTTCTAAGGTCACTAGGTTACTGAGATGGTCTACCATGGTATAGCTCCTGGTTGAAAAATGCACTGCCTCACTATAGAGTGCTGTCCTGAGGTCAGTGCTGAACCTGGGTGATTCCTTTTACCTTTTCCTTTTTTTCCCTCTGATGAAGGACCCAAAGCAGCAGACTATCTATGACCTATTCCAAAAGTCCTTTGAAGAAGATGGAAGTGACATGGAACTCCTGGAGGCAGCAGAGTCCTTTGACCCAGGAAGTGCTTCAGTAACCTCTGGAAGTAATTCCCAGGATCTGGGAGACACCCTGGATGAAAGCACCATTACGAACAGTCCACCACAGAAAAGGAGATTTGAATTTTTTGATAACTGGGACAGCTTTACCTCTCCCTTCTAAAAAGGTCAAGAAAAAAAGGAAGGAAGGAAGGGAGGGAGGGAGGGAAAAAAAAGATAAAGGGCATTCAGAAATCATGGTATTGGTTAAAATAAAAAAGTATTTTGTTTAGAAAGCCTGTGTTGACTTTGTCATGCAGGCAACCCTGGGTCTGTGTCTAAGCCCAGTGGGTACCAGCATTTCCATCCCTGTGTTCCTAGAGAGACGCCTGCTTGGAGGCTAGGTTACTCTTAGCTTTTCATTCTTTTTAAGTTTAAATTTTAATTTAATTTGTTTTATTTTACGTGTACGAGTGTATTGTCTGCATGTGTGTAAGTACACTTGTGTCATGCAGTGCCCATGGAGATCAGAAGTGCCTGTGGATCTCCTGGAACTGTAGTTATGGACAGTTATTAACTGCTATATGGCTGCAAAGATTCGAACCTGGGTCCTCTGCAAGAGCAGCTAGTGCTCTTAACCACTGAGCCATCTCTCTAGCCCCCTACTCCTCACTTTTCTGGCTTAGAAGACAGTGGCTCATAGTAGTCATAATTAACATTCTTTAAGTGATGAAGTACTTCCTATATAACCCCCCATATCTAGTTAATTTTTTGTTTTGTTTGTTTTTGAGGCAGCGTCTCCCTGTAGCCCCAGCTGACCTGGAACTCACTATGTAGACCAAGCTGGCCTCAATCTCAGAGGTACACCTGCCTCTGTCTCCTGAGTGCTGGAATTAAATACGTGAGCCACCACGTCTGGCTCTGGTTGAAATTTCTAACAACTCTATTTATTGAGCATCTAATATATTCTAGGCATTTACCTAGGTAGAAGCTTGATGAACAAAAGAAAAATTTTGCCTTTATGGATCTTATGTAACAGAGGAAGCAATAATTATGAGTCGTCTTTTCTAGTACAGTTCAATAATGGACACTAAAATGTAAGTTTCTTTAATTTTATGTGTCATGAATTATTATTTTGATTTTTAAAAACCATTTTAAGTGTGAAAAACATTCTTGCTCACTGGCTGTACTGAAAACGGCAGTGGCATACTGCACATGGTCCATTGTCTGCCAACCTTTGGTTTACAGCAATATAATTCAAGAGTAGTTAACTCAAGCTGCATAATGTGATTTTTAATTTTTCAAACAGAACATTGAAAAACAAAATTAACACATTTTAACATAAAAACTTTTTAGGTTGGGGGGTGGGGGGTGGGATCCATGTATCCCAGCCTACCTTGAACTTTGTGTTTCTTGTGTTTCTACCTCCCTACTGCTGGTAGTGCCGGAAGTGTATGTCCCCTTCTTTGTGCATGCTGGGCAGACACTCCACTAACTGATCTATATCCCCAGCCCTGACCCCAACCCCCACCCCCGTGTAAGATGGTGCTGGGGTTTAAATTCAGGACCTTATGCATGCTGAACAAGGTGTTTGCTGAGCTGTATCCCAAGTCCTTAAATTTTTTTAATGAGAAGTGTATGTTTTTGTACTATGGCTCTGAAATCCATTGTGTGATACAGCATCTCAATTTGAACTAGTTGCATTTTAATGCTTACTAGGCAGGTGTGACTGGAGACTCCTGACTGGACAGCTCAGATGTACAGACTCCTGAGTTGTCCTGATTGGACAGCTCCCATGTACAGAGGGATACGGAAGTAGAGCGTGAGGAAGAGTGTAGGTGAGTAGTAAAGGGGCCTAATAGAGCCAGGTGATATAGAGCTCACAGCTCGTGGTAAGGAATCTGGGCTTAGATATTGAGTATGAAAGATGACACCAAATGCTTTTGAGCAGAAATGTGGGGGTGCTGTCATATTTTTAAAGGATAGAACAATTTCATACCAGTTCTTATGCAGAAAACAGACTAGGAAGGATAGGCAAAGGAAAAGCTTAGGTAGGAAGCCGTCAAGCTCTTATAGCCTTCTTAGGGTTGATGCTGCATTGTAGCTGAGTGTGGGTACTCAGAAGAGGAGAAGTGGTCAGACTCAGGATACACAGATACATTGCAGATACATTGACGTGGGCTATTTGACTAAGAGAGGCTGGGATTGGGTTGCTTGAGCAAAGTGATACATGATCTTAAAGGGGGAGAGTAGATTAGGAGAAGAATGGAATAGAGTTTGGGTAATTGTATTAGTCAGGGCTCTCCAAAGAAACAGAACCGGTAGAATGAATATATATGTATAGAGATTTATCAGCTTAGCTCACAGGATAGAGTCCGAGTAGTCTAACAATGGCTGCACCACACTGGAGAGGCTGAGAATCCGTAGTCGCTCAGTCCACAAGGCTGGATGTCTCAGTAGTCCCAATCTGGTGCTGAAGGTCTGACAAATTCCAAAAGATCAGCTAAGTCTTCAGTCTACAGCAGCAAGATGAACTCACCAGTGAGAGAAAAGGCAAGCAGCAAGAAGCCTGGCATTCTCCTCTGCCGTGGTCTTTTATACAGGCTGCCATCAGAAGGTAACACCCACATTTAGCGTGTGTCTTCCAGCTTCAGATGATCCAATCAAGATCTTTTTCATTTCAGTTAATCTCAAATCCAGTCAAGTTGACACCCAGGATTAGCCATCACAGTAATGGACTCGCTGAGTATGAGATAGTTCGTAGACAATCAGTGGCCAGACTCAGAGACACACCACCCAGCACATTAATGGAGGCTGTAGTCACTCCATTAGTGAAAAGTCTGCGATGAGTTGAGGCCCAGCAAGCAGAAAGGTTTTGGAACCGCAGATCTTGAGAGAATTTCAGGAAGGAGTATATTTGTGTTACCCCCTCCCAGGTCCATCCACAGCCTCTGCCTTGCGTGTCTAATAGCACATGCTTTGAGAAACATCAGGGAGCCCTTGACCCGTGACCTGCTGCGTTCCGGAGGCTTTGGTGCAGCTTTTCTATGGGGTCTTTTGAACTCAGGTCAAGTTCTTCCAATGTCTTAGGATCTCATTCTCTATGCTTCTATAAATGTTTCTCTTTAGTCCAGGGATGTGTTTAAGATACAGTGGATAGACCTCATAAATAAAAGTGACTTGTACAGGTGACTTTAAAGACATATATACCAGGAGAGTCACTAATTGACTTGCTAAGTCCCTTCTGTGTTCACTTGGGGACCTGCTGCTCAAAGCAGCTCTTGTCATTCTGCAAGGTGTTGATCAGTGGCTGCCACTGGGAGGGTTTTCCCTTGTCCCTTGTTTTTGGTATTCATCTTAAACCCTGTTCCACTGTAGTTTTAAATATGACCCCTGGAGCCTCCATCTAAGGCCTCTAGTTGGATCTCAGTTTCAACAACTAGAGAAAAACAATTTTGACATGTCCCTGAGGTCTTTCAAAGCCAATTTTATTTATAACAGTTTATATATTTTAAGGTAGACCATTCCAAATGTGCCTCTGAAATTTATTGACAGCCATCCAGGCATTTCTGTAGGATTCAGTAAAAGCCTTTTAGATTTATTTAGATAGAAAGTAAATACCTTTAGGTTTAAAAAAGTATTTCCAGCACATATGTGGTGGCACACACCTTTAATCTCAGCACTTAGGAGGTAGAGGTGGGGGATTTCTATGAAATTGAGGTCAGCTTGGGCTACATAGTGAGTTCTAGACCAGCTGTGGCTACAGGGACAGGCTACCCTGTTTCAAAACAAAAAAGGGTTTCCATAACTAACTCCTTTTCCTCCAATGTGCAGCTCAGTCCACAAGGCTCTTATACCATTCTGTTCCCATCCCTGTCATCAACTGGTTTTTTTTGAGACAGTATCTCTCTTTGTAGCGCAGGCTGGCCTGGAACTCAAGATTCTTCAGATTAGTATTTTCTTTGGTCAACAGGAAAGCTAAGAAGTACAGTACAGAGCACCATTATGACTTTTGCTTTGTGCATTCTCATCTGTTGGAAACCTGGTACCTTTTGGAGTGCTCCCTGTTTTGCAAAATGGATAGAATCAAGTTTGATCATATATTTACCTCATCCACTTACTTCCTACCACATCAGTCTAGGATGTAAGTAGTTTGGAAGTATTAATTGGAGCAGTATCACATACCTGTATTTTGCTTGGTTTTGCTTTCCTGTGGAGTCTCAGTACAGGAAACACATTCCTAATCTTAGCAAATACTGTGGAGAAGCCTGAGTCACAGTCTTCGGGGTATGGGGGCAGCCTGCAGTTGTTTGAGTTTGCAGCAATCTCTGTCCACATTTCCCTCTACTCCATTCAACAGGTTTTTTTGAGTACCAGACATGCTTTCGACCCTTTTTGAGGGCAAAATGTACAAAAGTTCATAAAACATTTTGCAGTTTATAAAATATTATAAAATAAGCACTTCTGCAGTCATAATCTCAATGCTATAAAAAGAATATCTTCTAGGTATTATTGTTTTGCCTTTAATGTTTAGCTCTATAACCTACCTGGAGTTTGTTTCCATACTTGAAATAAGGTCAAAGTTAACTTTTCCTAGGTAGAGATGCAGGTATCTCAGCACTGTTTTTAAAAACTGTTCTTTCAGGGATGGAGAGATGACTCAGTAGTTAATTAAGAGCACTGGCTGCTCTTGAAGAGGACTTGGTTCAGTTCCCAGCACCCCCACATGCTGTCAGCTAACAACCACATGTAACTCCAGGTCCACCGGATGAGATGCCCTCTTTTGGCTTCTGCAGGCATTTGTACACATGTGGTACACTTAGATACATGTAAGCAAAATACTCATACATAAAATAACAATAAATAAAAAAATTTAAAGCTGTCCTTTCACTTGCTACTCTGTGGGGCCTTTTATTCAATATTATAAATTTGATATAAAAATGAGTCTAGGGGGCTGGCTGGAGAGATAGCTCAGTGGTTAAGAGCACTGACTTCTCTTGCAGAGGACCTGGGTTCGATTCCTGGCACTCACACGGTGGCTACAAACCGTCCTTAACTCCAGCTCCAAGGGAATCCAAAACCCTTTTCTGACTTCTGCAGCATTGCATGACATAGGTGCACTCACATACATGCAGGCAATACACTCATACACATAAAATAAAAAAATAAATTTAAAAAATGAATCTAGAAATGCACATTAAAAGT